CTTGTTCAGGTTCCTGAAGTTGAGCTGCCTTTTTGCAGTCTGTGATCAGCTTTACTGTTCCCTTGGCTCACATTAGGTCCATCCCTAACGGCCCCTAGAGTTGATGACTGCTACCTGGGTCAGGAGTTGTACTGCTTCTAAAAGAGCCAGAATAAAATCTGTATGTTTTATGAGAGAATTTCTATCAGTCAAGCTTTCTCTTTCCTTCCAAATGGTGACTTGAACATATAGTACATGGAATTCATTTTAGAGTCAGCAAAAATATTTAATTTTGTATCCTTCCCTAATTGAAAGCTCTCATTAATGCAGCTCACTTGGCCTTTTAGGCTGATGTCTCACCAGGGTTCTTGGCTTCTTTAATCAATAGGAATTGATAAGAGGCCAGAGGAGATTCAGACAACCTTTTGAGGATTTGTGCTACCTCAGGAGGGAGTGAAAACAAGTAACAGGTTCCCTTGTTCACTCCCTGAGGTGGGGTGAGCTGGTTCCTTATATGGGGTTAATAAAATCTGTATGTTTTATGAGAGAATTTCTATCAGTCAAGCTTTCTCTTTCCTTCCAAATGGTGACTTGAACATATAGTACATGGAATTCATCTTAGAGTCAGCAAAAATATTTAATTTTGTATCCTTCCCTAATTGAAAGCTTTCATTAATGCAGCTTGCTTGGCCTTTTAGGCTGATGTCTCACCAGGGTTCTTGGCTTCTTTAATCAATAGGAATTGATAAGAGGCCAGAGGAGATTCAGACAACATTTTATGAGGATTTGTGCTACCTCAGGAGGGAGTGAAAACAAGTAACAGGTTCCCTTGTTCACTCCCTGAGGTGGGGTGAGCTGGTTCCTTATATGGGGTAACGGGAGGGAGTGGTCCAGGGGTGAGCTTCGGTGAAGTGATGCTTGTGCAGGGATCATGCATGGTGTCCAGCTTTTATTCTGAGCATCTCAGAAGGGGAAGTTGGGTTTTTGGTGTCTTATATCTTATTTGTAATTTGCCCCAACTGCCCACGCATGCAGTTATTTTCAGTCCCTTAGATTGTTTGTGTTGTTGCATCACCTCAAGCAGTGAAGGATCCCATGTCCCAGGCTGTCTTAAGCTGATCTTGACCAATTCTCTGTATTCACTTCTCGCTCCAGATTTTGGAGTGCTGTTTTGCCCTGCACTTTGATAGATATAAGAATAGGCATTGATTTTGTGTGTTCAGCTTTTTTTTTTTTTCTCTTATTTTAAGGACAAGAATGATGATTTTTAAGCTTTTTATTTGTCAGAACTGAAAAATGGAATCTGTATATAAATTCATTTGAACCAATATGTATGGAATATTAGTTTGAACGATTGCCAAGTTATTAGATTTTTTGTGTTTGCTCTTGTCTCAACCAACCTTGGATAGGGATACCAGCAATTTAAACATGCATCTTAGGTTAAATGCAGCCACTGAAATGAAAATGATTCTCAGAAAGGCTACAAGAGAAAGAGCCACAGTAATAAATTTTGAAGGCAAATTCGTGTTAATGGACCACAATAGTATCATTGGAAGCAACTGTATAGTATAACAATAATCTAAGCATTTGAAATAAAAGATTTAAAACTTAATATCTATTATGAATGTTATGAATAAGGAGAGCATGTAAGAGGTTGATTCTAATCAAGCCTTTTTTGACAGATTTTGAATAAGGCCCTCTAGCTCTCATGATCAAAAGTCTCAATCAAGGTAGAGGCTCTGAACTAACAGCCCCAAACTTGAATTAGGCTTGACATAAATTGTGTTTTTTAAAAAGGAATGGGCTGCTGACTTTTAATGATTTGGCAATTTCTCTAGAAACCCTTGACCTTGCTAGAAACACTGGCCAGTGTCACCTACAGAAACAGCACAGAAGTTACCCCTTCCAGTTTGCCACAGATGTCTCCAGATACTTTCATTTTTGTCTATAGCTGAGCCTTCTCAGCACCTGAGTTTGTCTTATGAAGCAACTTTTTAGAAGTTGGGAGTAAAAAAATCCTATTAGATCTTTTATAGAATTTGAAAATCAGGTAGAAATTCAGGATGTTGTTTACCTTTCAATAGCATGTTGATTCAGTTCAATTTTCCATGGATGGTTTATGATAAACAACTTTAATTAGTCAGCAAAGAAGTACATGTGAAAGTATTTCCATCATATTTTGTATGTTTGTAATTTTGGGGTTGCTGAGAACCACCTTTTCCACCTTATCTTCATATCTTCTTTTTGTTCTATGTCAGTTCAACCATTTTGCAAGAACTCTTAATAGCTTCTCTTAAGTCCATTTTGTAGAATTCATATTTTGATTCAAGATGTGGTCATTATTAACATGATGTGGTTTATTTTGGAAGTAATTAAAAATAGAGATTTTGAACATCAAGTTATAACCTTGACAGTTTTCCTAGTTTTCATATCCCATACCCACCAATATACTTTTTCCCAAGGATAACACCTTAATAGTTTTTTTTCTTCTTTCTTTTCCCCATCTGCATCCTATGTGGTTGTGTGCACACACAGAAACACATGTATCAGTCAGTTCGGTTCAGCTGCTCAGTTTTGTCCGACTCTTTGTGACCCCATGGACTGCCATACACAGGGCCTCCCTGTCCATCACCAACTCCCATAGTTTACTCAAACTCATGTCCATTGAGTTGGTGATGCCATCCAATCATCTTATCCTCTGTTGTCCCCTTGTCCTCCTGCCTACAATCTTTCCCAGCATCAGGTCTTTTCCAATGAGTCAGCTCTTCACATCAGGTGGCCAAAGTATTGGAGTTGCAGCTTCAGCATCAGTCCTTCCAATGAATATTCAGAATTGATCTCCTTTAGGATGGACTGGTTGGATCTCCTTGCAGTCCAAGGGACTCTCAAGAGTCTTCTCCAACACCACAGTCCAAAACCATCAATTCTTTGGTGCTCAGCTTTCTTTATAGTCCAACTCTCACATCCATACATGACTACTGGAAAAACCATAGCTTTGATTAGATAGATCTTTGTTGGCAAAGTAATGTCTCTGCTTTTTAATATGCTGTCTATGTTGGTCATAACTTTCCTTCCAAGGAGGAAGCATCTTTTAATTTCATGGCTGCAGTCACCATCTGCGGTGATTTTGTAGTCCAAAAATATAAAATCTCTCACTGTTTCCACTCTTTCCCCATCTATTTGCCATGAAGTGATGGGATGCCATGATCTTAGTTTTCTGAATGTTGAGCTTTAAGCCAACTTTCTCACTCCTCTTTCACTTTCATCAGGAGGCTCTTTAGTTCTTCTTCAGTTTCTGCCATAAGGGTGTTGTCATCTGGATATCTGAGGTTATTGATATTTCTCTCAGAAATCTTGATTCCAGCTTGTGCTTCATCCAGCCCAGGATTTCTCATGATGTACTCTGCATATAAGTTAAATAAGCAGGGTGACAATATACAGCCTTGACATACTACTTTCCCTATTTGGAACCAGTCTGTTGTTCAATGTCAGTTCTAACTGTTGCTTCCTGACCTGCATACAGATGTCTCAAGAGACAAGTCAGGTGGTCTGGTATTCCCATCTCTTTAAGAATTTTCCAGAGTTTGTGGTTCACACAGTCAAAGGCCTTGGTATGTACATAAAAAATCTATACACATGTATATACACAGACACAAAGCTAAATATGTTCACATATAAACACATACATACACTTAGATATATATCTGTTTACTACATTTCCGTTATTTAACAAGTGAATTCATATTATGCATAGTTCTTGTACCTTGATTTTATTCTCTTCAATGACTGTATAGTATTCATTTGTGGCCATTTCTATTGTTTCCAATTGCTTCTCTTTAGTGTCTGTTTCTGATTGCTTATTAAAAATTGTACCAGTGACATGCTCTGGTGATTATATCATTTTGAACTTTTACAGTTAATGATGGGAATCCCTAAAAGTAGTAGTCTGCATCTAAGAGTAGGGTGATTAAAATTTTGAAAGATTTTGCCAATCTGTACCCCAGCAAGTTAGCAACAAATCTTATTTTTCTTGAATCTTTGCCTTTAGGATGTACTCCTGAAATTTAACATGCCCTATTCTGATTTTTTTTCTCCTTACATGAGTTCAGTTATGTACTTTTTTCATATATGTATTCTGCAGATATATATTTTTATGTGAAATTTTATATTTACATGTGAATATCTGGATTTCAAAATCTCTTGTTTGGTTATTAGCATTCAAAAAATGTCATTTCTCAACATAGTTTTCATTGGAGCCTCCAGAAAAGAAACCTGCTATTCCTTGTTGCTTGTTCAAGTGCGAGTGCCCAGGGAATGTTAAACTTGACAATTGCTGCCTGGTTGAGATGCTAAACAATATTTCCCCAGGGGCAAAGTTTTTCTTAATGTGCCATCACTATATGGTTTCCTCTAGGCTATTCTGCCTTGTGATATTTCATAGTCAAAGGTGAAACCAAGGGTTAATAACTATAAAGAATAAACTGTTCACACACTTCTCTTGTTAGACATGGTAATTTCCTGGTAAAAGGATGAAAGGGAAACACTAGAGAGTGGTGGGCAGATACTCTAAATCATCTTTCATAATTCTCAGAATTATGTAGAACTTCTGTTGTGAACTTCACTCATTTAGTCAGCATTTATTGAATCCCTATTGTTAGTAATAGAACAACAAGTTAACTTAAGTAACAGTCTATATCAACTATCATAAAAAAGATACTGGTGCTTTTGGCTTAAAGGCATAGTGTGCCATGGGTAAAAATTGAAATGAAAAGATATGATTCTAATGTGGAAAACCCTGTTGAATGGACCTCATCTAATCACAAAGAGTTTTGGGAGCAAAAGGTTGAGAGCATTGTGAGAAATGGGATAAAAGTGATGTCTTTATCATTCTCATGATCAAGTGCCCAGTGGAAAAGTTACTGGTAAGTTCCAGTAACTTTTTGATACCCAGCTATAGTGTCAGAGGCCCTCCTCTCATAACTTCTCCTCCAGCTCAACTCTTTGCATGTGATTTCCCACAGTATTCAAAGGCGGAAAGGCATCCTGTGACTGCATTGGAGAAAATGATGGAGTCAAGTTTTGCCGGCCCCCAATCATTCCCAGAGGTCCCTTCTCCCGACAGAGGAAGCCAATCTGTCAAACACCACAGGTACAGGTAGCTGAATCGTGGTGGGAATGGGCATGTTGACACAGTGTGTAATGCTGAACAGAACATACCAAGGAACAGCAACATTATTCAGGAGAGGTGATCATTCTTGCTTCTCCTCTAGTTGCCCATGGAGTGGAAGCTCAGGCAGCTCACAGCAGGCAAAGGGACCAGTAGGCAGCAGTGCACCTAGAAGCCTAAAGGGACTTATTAACAATACCCACCAAGGCTGCAGACACAGACCAGGAATGAAACAATTGCTATCTGAAAAATCATTAAAAACATGGTTTTTCCTAGCCTGCCTTATCACTGCAGATTTAATGACTCATTCTTCCCTAGGCAGCTGATAGCACATGTTCCAGATCTTCACACATAGTTCTCACAGGGGAAGAATCCTGCTAAATCTTTTCTTGGTTTAATATTAGATCTTCCATTATCAGTGGAGTGGGACTTCTTTTTTTTTTTTTTAACAAGCTGACCATAAAATTGGCTATTTGGGGAAGAAAGCCAAAAATAAAGTTATCTTATAAAAGTTTTCAATTTTACAGCATTCTGAGGCTGAGAACATTCTCAGCATCTTCTAGTCACATGCTATATTTATACATAAGGAATCTGGAACTCCAAAAATTGAAAGCTTTGTTCTAAGGGGCCAACAGTTGAGACCTGCTATTACAGACATTATGTTTATGTACATCCAAAAATATATTGTCAATCTTTGTGGAAGTTTTCCAAAGATTTAAGCTTTCTTTTCTTAGTAGGAAGGACAGTGTTAAAAAAAATTCTTACATTATGAAGGGAATAAATATTTTTTTTAGTGGAAAAGGTAGAGAAAAAGAAGTTGTTTCCAGCAATGAAAGAAAAATGTTGTTGACCCTTGGTTTTCACATATCTAGGCCTCATTTTGGAAACAACTGTGAGAGAAATATTCATTGTTCAAGGAAGCTAACTTTTCTCTCACCTCTGAAGGAGTCCCCCCAAAAGATTTTACTGATACTGGCCACATTTACTATGGGATTTTCATGTCACTCTGGATACTAATCATTGGTACTCAATGGTGATTTTTATTCTTAATCTACATGAGTAGAGACTGAGATATTAAGAGTTTGCTAAGATTAAAAAGGGTAAAATATTTTCAACACAGGATGAAATATGTTGGCCACTGAATAACTGCCTTAGGTACTGAGTACAACTTTTGGTTTATATCAGTAGGGGAATTTACAAATATTTCCCTATGAAAAGAGCATTTTAAGTTCACTGCACTTAATGGATCTTCTTCAATTAGGAAATTAGATTAAAAATTATCAGCCTTTTAGAAGATTTTTTTTTCCAAAATCATATTTCCCTCTGAAGATTGTAATCCATGTTAAAGCAGTATTTCATCCAGTCAAGTAAAATAAAGTATAATATTAAGTATTATATTATGTCATACATGTTTTAAAGTTGATAGGATAAAGAATGACAGCTTATAATGTATTTGACCTGCAGATAACCCCATCCCTATTTTTGTCTGTTGATACACTGCTCCTAAACTTGGCTTCTACTATGGCTTCTAGGAATCACTCACAGGTCAAATAAGGAACTCTCTAAGAAACCTTTTTTGTTTGGTTCAGTGACACTGCAGTATTTGTTGGCATGCATTGTTTCCTGATAGACGGGCAAGGGTTGATTTATAAAGTGCTTTTAGAACTTTGTAAATTACAGTTCAATATATCATAGCTTTTGTTTTGTAAAACATGCAGTAGACTTAAATGTTTTTGTGATTGATAACCTAGTCACAGATTTATACATCCTGCTAACTGCTCCATAACTTCCTGAATGCCACTGGGTTAAAAAGCTTGAAGAGTGGATCGATCAATAGGTATAGAACCGTTTTTTAAGATGGGTTACTAGTTTATACCCGTAGACTTTGTTGTTGTGCCATTTTGGTTAGCTATGACTAATTCATTTCTTTTGGTGTACTGCAAATCTGACTCATTTGGATAACTCATTTATGAAACAAAAGCTATTAATTCAAAGCCATTATTTCTCATGTTTAGTCCAACATCCATCCCCCCTTTATTTTAAAGAAGCAATCTATCAAGTCATGTCATACTTAGTGCATTAATTTTGGCAATATAACTCAGGACATATATTGCCATTATATATAGCAATTATAGCCAGAACATATATGGGTTTTTTAAGGTAAAATAATTATGGTTTTCAGTGATTAGTATGAGCCTTTGAGTTGTCAGTTTGGCCAGAGGAATTGGGGAACTTACTGTGTTGCACCTACCAAGTGCCAGATTTCCTGCTAAACACTACATGTTTGAGCTCTTTAATCCCCACAGCAATACTATGAAAATACCTTACATGCACCACATGTAAGCTTTTACCTTTTTCTGCCCTGCCTTGTGCACTAAGAGAGGAAGCATCTTCTCTTGCCTTTGGACTCCTGCTGTTTCACTGCGATGCACGGGCAAGGAGGGAAGGGCAGGGCCAGTGAGGTCCTAGCACTCCTGCCCCGCCCCCCCGCCTGGTGGCCTTGGCTACGGCCCTCTTCTTGGGGCCCACAGCACCTGCCGGGCGGCCTCTTCTTACAACCATTTTCTCTCTTTAGTCAGGTAACTGCTCCTTCCCCCGTGTCCTTTCAGGAACAGCTTCCCATTGTCACCAGCCCTTAAGTAGAGTAGTATCATGTTGTGTTTGTTTCTTTTTTTCTCCCCTCAAACATTGAACATACATTTGTAAACAGCAAAATCTTCCCAAATGATCCAATTTCTGATGCCATTTATTTCCCTCCAGGACTCTGACTGGTACATGTACTATCCCCAGTATCATGCTGCTAGTAACATACAGACCCAATGCAGCTAATTCTAGCATCCAAGCCCGAGTGCTCTGTGAACTTCACAATTGCCACCAGACAGCGTATATAGAAACTGGAAGGCAAGAAACGAATCGGTTATTACGGAGCTCCTTAAACGTGCTGGCTTAGTGACCTAGCTAGATGTCCCTTGTTAAGCATTTTAGGATTCAACACACTAGAAATATTACGCTGAAGAATGAAATTGTAATAACCATGCTAGGTATAATCTGGTATCTGCACAAACTCAGGAAGTTAGTGATAGGCTTGACAAATATGAAGTTCTAAAGTGTGGTCGCTTTCCCTAGCCAAATCCAGGATGGTGGCTACTGGCACTTCATATGTCAGGTTTTCAAATCCTGACCCTAAATATTAATAACATAGGAGAGGTTTTATATTTATTAAGTGGAAATAACAGTAATGTTGGTGGGGGAAAAAGTTATGGAACTCCATATAATGTAGTAATATGGATAAAATTCCTTTGGGGGAATGGTTCCTTTAGAACTTGATGGCATATTGAAATTTTGAAAATGTTTTTGCTCTGTGTATGGTTTTATTGCTATTTTCAAAGTTAAATGAGAATGTAATACAAACATTCTAAATTATCTTACAGGCATCTCAGGGAATGTTTATACAGGAACAGAGTCTTACAATTCACATGGTAGTAGGGTAAATTCAATGGTGTGGAGAGAGGAATAGATATGGATGGAATTAGTAATGTGGCAAATTAGTAAGTGATTCCTGTAAAGAGTCTAGTTCTTTATTTAATATATCTATGTAGGGATCTTACCTGAGGTATATCCCATGTATGCTATTTGCCCCTTGATGGCACCTGATAACATATGGTTATTTGGCTATTTGGATGTATGAATCAAATGAAATATATGATCATGCATTTATTAAAAGCAAAATCAAAGGGTTGATATGGGATTATATAAAATCATGTGTGAATCTTTTGAAAATTGTAAAACACTATAGAATTTAAAGAATCTTTCATTCAATAAAAATTTTAGGAAAAGGAAACCTCAAAAGAAAAATAATTTAGGTTCTCAGGATTTATGAATATTTGAGATTGTGAACCAGAAAAGTAAACATATATTTTAAGGAAACAACGGCAATTAAAATAAGGATTGTTTGTTCTACCACTGACACCATTGACATTTTCCCCTAAGGCTTCTTGGGTTTAGTTCTTGTCACTGTTTAGTAACAAGACCATTTTTATTTCTATCAGAGGCCCTGCTGGAGCATGGATGATGAGGGAAGATGGGAATCAGGGGCTGGAGCATTCCTTAAGCTCACCTCTCAGGCTGGGAAGCTGCCATTATTTCAGTCCATTGTGCTCCAGACAGGAATGTCAGAAACAGAGGAACTGAACATTTCTTCTTAGTCTGTCCAAAGATAAAATAGATTCAGCAACTTTCGATCTCTCCTAGCCAATATCCTGCAGGCATGGGTGGAACCTGGCCTCGAACTCTGAGGATCTGGGGTGCAAATACAGTGCTTGAAGAATCTGAGCAGCCACCTGTGAGAAAATGGCTATGATCAATTTGTTTGTTGGTTTTCTCTCCACCAGCAGGACCCTCTCCTCTTGCTGCAGTCCAGGGCAAAGGAGTGGTATGCTCCATAGGAATGCCTTCAGAAGGACACCCCCATCACCCCGAAGTAGGCTGGGTGGACTCGTGGGACCAGCATATCAGCAACTGGAGGAATCAAGGATCCCAGACCAGGATACGATACCTTGCCAAGGGTAGGTCTTAAAAGCAATGGAATTTAGGGAGGGTGAATACTAGAGTTTTAAATGGAGTTTTTAATGTTCTTTGGGGTTTTATTCCTGATTTCCATCACTAATTGGCTATTTATGCTTGCTTCCATATTTGTTTCACAAAAGAATAACTATAAAGAATAGATACAATGGAAGTAGATATTAGATGGAAAAGAAATGTAACATTAAGAAGTATATAGATATCTAGACTACGTTTTAATGCAGTTTCTAAAATAACTGGGAATGTGTCTTTAACTTTAAAAACTAGGGATTTCTTAGGAGGACAAAAGTAGGTTTACCTTAGTTTTTTTGGGGGGAGGGGGGAAGGACTTAATTATCTAATAACTATTGTAGAAAATACTATAATAAGCAGTTAGGTAATACAGATGTAGCATCTGCTCCATAGAGCATTCTTGAACGTATCTCAGTCAATGCTGACAGCATATTGTCAAGGCACAACTAGCTGAACTCAGATCTCTAGTTTTACTCACAGTGCAGGGGTGGAAAAATGGGCTTTGGACTCAGTGGCTGTTGCCCATCCTTGCAGGGCAAAAAGTGCCCCTTCCTATGAATGGACATGGACCTGCATGGGGCTCATAGAATGGTGAGTGGAGCATAGAGTGAAATTTAGACACCAATTACCTCACTGACATAAGCTATCCAACCAAATACGGCAGCCCTTATCAACCCTGACAAGCTGGATTGCTACTTGTATGAAGTTGAGAAAGTTTTATCATTTAAGCTTATGTTTTCTAGTCTATAAATTGAACAAAATAGTATCAGCCTTCCTGAGGATTGTCGGGCAGGTTAAAAAGAAATTACCTGTGTCTAGAGCTTGTGCCTGACACATAGTAAGCAGAGAAGGAGTACTTGTATTTATTGCCATGGGAGCTATTATAGTATTACTTCTAATTTCAAGAGCAATGCAATCAGGATTTACTTCAGAAAGTCTAAGAATCCACTCCCCCACTCAAGCCAGGTTCCTGTTGCATCCAGTTTTCTTCTCTCTCTCTGAATAAGCCAGGCTACATTTCTTTAGTCTGGGTAATTTTTCTACCCAGTCTGTAGCAAGTTGAAAGTCAAAGCAGGTTTGAGGTCCCAGATTCTTAACTTTGTGTTTTCCTCTGGGCAAGATATACATGCAACAGTGCCATGTCTGACAAATCCCAGTAACAGATTTCTGTAGGAAGACTAGAAGATAAGAAATAAAAAGCCTGTGTCTCAATTTTGTAATTGTGAAGCAATTCCAATTGGACTGTAAAATATATTGGTACAGGTCTGGGGTGAGGTTTACACATTCAACATAATAGCTAAGTTGTTCAAAATATATGATACAAGTTTCAGAAAGCAGTTTGCATCTCTGTTTGCCTATGGCTAGAAAAGGGGTTTGCATTAGCCTATAGTTAATTATGTTTCATAATTATTTTTCTTCTTAAACCCCTAATAATGTCTGTTACTTAGGTATTCCCCCTCAACCATCTCCCCGCCACCCTGGGATGAATGTTACAGTTAGAATGGGTGAGGCTGAAATCAAGCTCAGAGATGTTGTGAATGGACAGAGAACCCAGTCCATGCTTTCTTTCCTCTGCTGGGCACTATCATAGCTATCATTCCAAATGTACCAGTAAGAGGGTGCTCTGTGACAGACAGTCTTGAACCAAACATACACACATCTCCAAGAGCTCAGAGATTTCCAGGGCATGTTCAGGCACTGTTTTGCTTTTTAACTCCTTAGGGTCTTAACACTTATCCTGCCTGGTGGCGGTTTTGTTTTGGTTCAATCATCATTGGGTTTGGAATGTTCTCTTCAATTGGCTGGCCACATGCATTTTCCAATGTGATACGCATCCAGTGTTGATAAATGATGTCTCTAAGTCACTTTGTGCTCAGCACAATGAATCTCAGGGAGCAACCTCATTCTCAGTTCTTGAGAACAGCTATTTCCCACTCCTGGGGGACTGACCATCTCACCGGACTGGAAATGGAATTGGTAATAGAATTTCACAGCTAAAAGCCTTCTTCAAATCTGGCCCTTGCCTGGAGGGGGAGTGAATGAATTTATAAGAGCCTTCAGCCATCTGTGGCTTGTTTATCAATCATGTGGGCGCTGTCTCCTAGTTAGACTCCCATTGTATATGATGTCTCTCCTTGGCACTAACTTCAGCCCAGCTTGAAGCCAGTGTCTGACTTGGTGAACCTGAGGAGGGAGTCAGGTGGAAAGGAACTTCTTCAAGAGCCTTTCCCCTGATCAGTGGCTTGGTGCCAACTATGGCTAGTGGCTCACAGAGCTCTGAAATGCATTGTATCAGGCAAATCAAACTCATGGATTCATATACTAAGCAGAAAGAGCTAGACTCACAAAAGACTGCTACCTTCAAAGTAGAAGGGATCTGAAACATACTCATCATCCATCTCACTTAAATAGCAACTTCACAAACTTACATTCAGTTATTCTTCAGGAAGTTTAGAGATGAATCCATGAAAGATAAAAGAATTTCAATGGTGAACCCAAAGATGAGATATCCCATGTAAAAGGACCATTGAATACCAGCCTTTCTGACTCAATAAACCACTAAACCAGGAAAGGAATGTGAAGAAAAATCTCAGTCATGAATGGCAATGTATAAATGTGGAATCTCTAATCATATGGCTCCAGAGGGAAAATTAGATTCCTTCAGTTTAGTCTGTTCATTCTAATGCCATATGCACCAAGAACTGGGTCCTAGAGTCCTCTGGGGAAACACATATTTCTTAGCCTGACCCTTGAATTCCTGGGAATCAAACTAAATGACTACTTGTTGAAATCTTCCCTCTTTAAAAGGAGGATTTGTTCACATAGCTACAAAGGAAATGGTACATCTGATTACTTTGCTGAGGGATCATCGGAAGAAGGGCAGTCCAAACTGGCACTTTACAGTCAATGAATGATGAGCTTATGGAGAGAATGTGACAGTCATTGACTATGATAGAATGTAGAATTCTGAGTATCTTCTAATCAAGAGTCACATCTAGAAATTAAACTTCTGGAGAGTAGTGTCGCCTCCTACTCAAAAGCCAGTGCTAGAACACTCGCAGCAACTCTAGGAAGAAAGGGAAGACCACCAGTGTGCCTCTACTGATTCATGCAGAGGCATCACTTCAGCAAGTCCTCAGAGCAGCCCCCCAGGTCAGCATTACAACCTGACAGTTTTAATTAATGAGAGAATTAAAGTGAGGCTTCCATGTTTGTCTAAGACTCCGGAGCATGTAATGGTGGTGGAACTTGAAATCTTTTCTGATCCAAAACAAAATCACATTTTTGGAGAGTTCTAATAGTTTAAAGTACAGCTTCATGTTAGGGCAGCATTTTAGATTTCAGTGGTTGCCAGCATGTGGTGCATACCTGGTTTGTGAGATGACGTGTAAGTCAACTGCAGTTCCTCTTTCTCATCTATCAGCTGCTCTTTAGTCACTAAGTCATGTCCAACTCTTTGTGACCCCATGGACTGTAGCCTGCCAGGCTCCTCTGTCCATGGGATTTTCCATGCAAGAATACTGGAATGGTTTGCCATTTCCTTCTCCAGAGTCTCTTCCTGACCCAGGGAAGGAACCCAGGTCTCCTGTATTGGCAGGAGGATTCTTTATCACTGAGCCACCCAGGGCAGCCCACAGGCATATTGGAAGACAGCTCCAAGTCTGGCTTGAATTGCCTTTGATTACTTCTTAGTCATGTCACACTGTGGACTTGTTAAAGTGTCGGTTGACTAAATTCTATAAGATATTTACATCTTTAGCCGTCATTTTTACAAATATGTTTAGATCCAGGTATTAAGGATTGACATCTGTCATCAGTACTTTTCAACCTGTTAGATTCTACTCATGGATATACTCTGATGATATCCATATGAAAGATGATTTTATCCTAATAAAATTTCTTGGTCCTGTGCCATTGGTGAATCTGACAGCAGACCTTCTCTACCTTCATACACATTAATGGTGCTAAGAAAAGAACACAGAAGTCTTAAAGTTGGCACCTTCCTTCTTGTTGAAATTGATTCATTGATCAGAAACTTTATGTTCAGATTTTCAGTCATATAACACTAAGGAGAAAGGAGTAAGATCCCCTAGGGAATTTCCTTCTATGTGCCTATATAGTTTGTGCAGGTAAAGATTTTACATCCCAAAAAAGGTTGGGATGCACCTTGAGATGCCCACTCGTTTAAGGCCTTGATAGTAACAAAATAAGACAACATAGGTTTAACTGCTTCCTCTGCTGCTTACCAAGAGTGTAATTTGGGGCAAGTCATTTGGGTATTTCTTAGTACAGTTTTTTCATCCATCATATGGCAATAATAATAAACCACACAGTGTTATAAATCAATAAAGTAAATAGCGGTGAAAGTGCCTTTTGAAAGCTCTGTGTGATTGTTAGCTCTTGTTGTGTTAACTAGGATATGAAGAGAGTATTTACCTTGAAGGTCTGTTCATGTAGTCCTGTGTCCATTCCATCAAAATTTATTGATTGCCAACTCCATGACAGGCACAGTGAGAAAGGACGGAACTGCAACCTAAAGCCGTTCCTCATCTTTTTGTGCTGTCTGGCAGAAAGACAGATCTCTAAATTGCGCCTATCTTGTCTTTACAATAAAGGCTTCTATTTAGTATGCAACACATTTCATTGTAATTATTCTTTCTGTGTATAAACATGATTTTAATTTACATTATAATGTAAGACAAGGGGAATGAGATTTATTATACTGAAGGTAAATATGTTTAGATTATGCTTAAATTTTAATTTAAGGTTAAAATTAAGTAAAAATAATTGAGAAATAGGATAAATACTACTGTTCATTTCTGTGAATCTACCGTATCTCGGCTCCAATCTTTGGCTTTAGAGAGTTCAGAAGCAATGGAAAATTCACCAGCTCTGAACAACCAAGAAGGGGGCCAGCTAGATTCTGGCGTAGTAAATGACTTGGAATGTCATGATGGCATTCTGGACAAGTCATTGTCATGCACCCATGAACTACCTTACTTGGCTCCAGAAACCATGTGAGGAACATTACTAGCTTGACTGAGGCCCCGTGGAACTTCCTGCATGTTCTTCTTGGGCAGACAGAGGAGTTGTATGCCTCTCATCCCATCTTTTAGGCTCTATAGACTGGCAGTGAGGGAGTTCCTATAGAACAGAGTGCCAATGGAAATTGGACTTGGTCTCCCTAAAGTCAGTGTGAAGCAGAGACACTTAGGACTGTAGTATTTTGATGCTGAAGAGTGGGCTTCCTGATTGCCCCCGCCTATGGTGGCCACAAGGAGTCCACTGGACTTAACCAGGGCTGAGAGGGTGGTCAGGTTGATGGAGTGGAGTAATGCCGTTATGGGTTTCCTGTTTGTCACTATGGAAGGGCCACACTCTCACCTGCTCAATCCCCATTTACTTTGTATTCTAGGATAGAGGTCAGGAAGACTATATCCCACCTGCCTCTACAGCTGTGGTGTGTTGAAAGATCCCTGGACTTAAAGTAAGAAGATCTGGGTTTGAGTCTCAGTCTGTCACTTATTTTCTGTGTGACCTTGGGCAAGTCACTTCACCTATCTGAGCTTCAGTTTACTTCTCTGTTTAACTGGGAACATAGTATCCGTCTCATGGGGTTGCTGTGAGAAGTCAGTGAGATGGTGCATGTGGAAAGTGCTTTGTTGACTGAATATTGTGGGGCAGGTAGCAGAATATGTTACACTCTGTTTCTTTTTCAGGTACTCAGCCAATGGTTTAACAACCCAACAAAATGCATCAATAAATATGCAACTGCCTTCAAGAGAGACAAACTCCTATTTTAATAGTTTGGAGCAAAAGGACCTGATGGGATATTCATCCCCAAGGGCCAGTTCCGTGCCCATCATCCCTTCAGTGGGTCTAGAGGAAACCTGCATGCAAATGCCAGGGATTTCTGAAGTCAAAAGCATCAAATGGTGCAAAAACTCCTACTCTGCTGATATTGTCAATGTGAGTATTCCAGTCAGCGATTGTCTTATAGCAGAACAACAAGAAGTGAAAATATTGCTAGAAACTGTCCAGGAGCAGATTCGAATTCTGACTGATGCCAGGCGGTCAGAAGACTACGAACTGGCCAGCGTAGAGACCGAGGACAGTGCAAGTGAAAACACAGCCTTTCTTCCCCTGAGTCCCACAGCCAAATCAGAACGAGAGGCACAATTTGTCTTAAGAAATGAAATACAAAGAGACCCTGCATTGACCAAGTGACTCGAGATGTAGAAATCTGTGCATTCTATGCTTTGCTCAACAGGAAAGAGAGGAGATTAAATACAAATTATTTATATGCATTAATTTAAGAGCATCTACTTAGAAGAAACCAAATAGTCTATCGCCCTCATATCATAGTGTTTTTTAACAAAATATTTTTTTAAAGGGAAAGAAACGTTTCAGGAGGGATAAAGCTTACAACTAAAGCTTTTGGGTAGAATTCTGAATACAATTTCAGTTAGTCCCAACACTGTCCTCTTTGGCTCTTAGTAGATGTGAGCAATTCAGACCCTCAGCCCCACAGCGCCAGTGGCCTCATAAAAAGTGCTGGCAGTTGCCCAGTTTCAAAGAGAAGAGATGTGTGCTGAGGCCGGACGTGCCAGTGAGCAGGTGGCCCTTGCCATGTGGCTTGCCAATCCCAAACCCTAAATCTCTATTCACTCGACAGCCTCATCACAGGTTATGTCATGTCAACCAATGTAATATTTTATACTTACTTTTTGAAGAATGGCACAAAGACTCTGGAAGGAGAGGAACAGAAGATAGAGGGCATCATGGGGCAATCTTAGCCACTCTTATGTGCCAGCTTCCTCCAAAATTTGAAGGCACAGAATCTCAGAGGGAGGTAGGAAATTACTATAGAAAAAGAGACAAAAACATCACAAATGTCGTGTCACTAAAATCATGCTAATAGAAATGTTTTTCTTTGAGATTGTTTTAGGGGGCTCCAAAGGAGCATTTCTCAGTGTGTGTGTGTGTGTGTGTGTGTGTGTGTGTGTGTGTGTGTGTGTATGTGGGGGCCTGCTCACTCGAGCACCGGTATGCTGTATGCACATATGTTCATTGTGCGTATGTGTGTGCATGTGTGTGTGTATTCAGCTTGCTAAAAATTTGTTGAAACATCAGGGAATCTAATATTCAGAAGAAAAAAAAATTTCCCTCGTAGATCTGTTCACTTTCAATTTTTTCCATTAAGTAGAAAGTTCAGTTAGTAAATCAAGGTCACTTGCATGGTGGGGTCCTACAAAACTCTTGACAGTGTCTAGACCATTTTCTGATGTGAATCTTTTTGAGAGAAACAACTATTGGCTCATTAATGATATCAGTATCACAAGGCAAGTTGGGGATGTGTACCTATTCTGAGTCATGCATACTTAAATTATTTATACAAGCCAATGATCAAATTGATGGTTACCCTTTGCTTTTTCATCATCCTCATTACTATTTATTTTATAGCAAGTCTGCCATGTGTGGACCAAGACATTGGCTTCTGTGGTTAATATGGAAAGAATAAATTGTTGAAGTCACAAAGCCCAGCCTATTCAGTTCACAGGAAGTCCCCCAAAGAACAGTAAATTGTGCTGTATGTTCATTTGGAATAAAGCAATATTTTTACCACTGCTAAGGTGAACTGAAACTTCTCCTGAAGATTTGTCTGTTTTATTTACCCTTCTTTTCATGGGGCAACCAAGGAAATTAGTGTTCACATAACCAGTCTTTTTCCAATTATCGATGGTGTTGAGTTGTTATGTTTACACTGTTTTAAATAAAAAGGCACAGTATTTGAAAGTATATACAAGATTTCTTTTACTGAAGTTTGGGAAAACTTTGAGTAAAATTTCTTTGTGGAAGATGCCCATTCCCTTGAAAAGGAATGTAACTCTTTCTGAATCGAATATTGAATATATACAATTCTTATTTAAGATTAAGCTGTTTCTGCTTAAAATACATTGCAAATTGCTCTTTGAGAATATTCTTTGATAATAGACATAAGTGGAAACTCAAGTCTCAAATGTTGAAAACATTTTGGTAGAAACACATTTTATATTTAACAAAATGCTTTGTGGTATTCATGAATTGTTTATTTTGAGTATAGAGGTAATACTGTTAGACTCAAAATATTATTTTACATTTTTAATATCTCAATTATCTAAATTCTCATTTAGAAATAATATCTTTGGGAAAATTTTGAGAAAGATGGTCTTATTTAACAGGTATATTAAAACCCCATGATTTGCATACCCAATATGTTACTATATTTAAATTTTTCACAATTATCAAACATTGATTGGAAGTCCTCTCAACTCTGTTGAAGTCAAGCTTGTCTTGGGTTTTTCACTAAAATGTTACCTGTTGCATATCTAAATGAATTCATACAGATTCTACCTAATTAGGAGGTTGTATGTTCTGTATGAAGTTAATATATCATTTACTCTAAGAAGATCAAAGGTTATCAATCAAACTTAAGTCCTGATCCAACCCTTATTTAGTTAAAGTAGAACCATATATTCTGTGATTATAAAAAGCCTTGTGCGTTCTAAAGGATATGAACATCAGGCATGTCTACCAGCAGCCCAATGTAAAGTTTAGAGATAGTTATGTCAAAATTGATAGTGGAGACAGAAATCCTCCATAAAGAGCAATTATTAAATGACCACTGAAAGTGACCATTATCTCCTTTTGGAATATGAAACTCTCCTACGAAAAGCGTTCAGACTCAAAAAGCACCTCTTTGGGTACCAGCAGACAAGTACTGATAAGCATCAAGATCCTCAAAGCTGATCTAATGTGGCCAACACCTGAAGATACTGCTACCTTGTCTTTCAAGCTCACATGCCTACACGGAAGTGCTTATTTCTACAAGACACTTTTGATTTTGCTTCATTTTCCCTGTATTTGTTATGAGGGTATATATTTGGAGATTTGGTAATTGAGTAAGTTGCAATTCATTATTTATTGGAGAATGAATGTCACTCATTACTTTTTCACTCCGAATCATTTCCTAATATCTTATTTTATATAAAGTGTATGTTATTCTGATTTGCCAGTGACTTCTATAGAATGCTGTTGTTTAAAATATATGAACAATTTTATGCTAATGAGAAATAGTGGAAATTATGTTGGAGAATTGGCATCTAAATTTTCTCTGATTTTCTTGTGTACATTAAGTGTTCTATGGTTTACACTCTTGTCCAATATCTACCTTGCTATGGGTGAAGGACTAAATATTTGTAGACTGATAAAATCCCCAATGATTTACATTATCTCCCAGTAGCAATAGCCAGGCCCTCTCGAGCAGAAATGGTGCAGTTTTTCAGGACTCCACAATGAACTTGTTTTGATCATAACATAGCAGACCTACCAAACAGAAGGGCCAGGCAGATTTCCAGAGAATGACCGTGTCTTCTGGACTGAATGACAGGTACGACTTGAGTGGGGCTTCTAAGGCTTTCAGTAACCAGCTGTCCACCAGAATGTGCTTGATGTACACAGCAGTCACTCACACTTACCTTGCAGTATGGTGCTACAGGAAACCATGACTCCCTGAGTAAGGGCGGGGGGAAATGGTGATTCCTCTAATTCCAACCCTGTAAACCAGAAAATATTTCCCTTAGACAAGTGCTATGAAACATTTCCCAACTGAGTACATAGTATATCTAGGAACACAGCAGGAGGGGTGGGGTTTTTATTTGAGCTTTTGGTATCCAGGAAACATTTTATATATAAAGAATACTTTTTAAATTATTATTCAATTGTATAGCTTCAGTACACTGTTGTTAAATGATGGCATGTCTCTACTATGTTTGTATTTTAGTCTACACAAATTCAATCTTCATCCAAGAAAGACCAGCACAATGTTTCTGAGCTGTTCTCAATTTTAAATGCATCCCAATGTCATGGGAAATGAGGCCTTTAAATAAGCTTTATCTCTTCCTCTTTTATTCTTTCTTTCCCTTTTAAAGAAATAGTGAGGGTAAAAGAAGAAATTCATTACTTAAGATCAGCATTGTTCTCTTACAATAATCTATTTCCTACTGTGACACACATACATATATAAGCATATATGTATGTATAAAATATACATGTATTACATTTAGGTGTTTGGTTATTTTGGTAGCTTTATTTTTGTTTCATTTGACAAACATTAAAGTGATTGCCTCATGGAAGGCCAATGAAATAAAAACCTTTGGAAATCAGCCAACTTGGCAATGTTTAGGTAATACAGGCATTTTCTGGTTCTTCCTCTTAAAGCAGAAATTTCCTTGAGTTGGAAAAAATTCAAAAGACCCTGGAGTAAAATGTCTGCTAGATTATCTCTTAGAAATGAAGCATAAACTATGGGTATATATGATTACTCTCCCTATAGTGTGTAAGCTCAAATATATTTTTTACAATTTTAACTATTTAGTTCTCTCAAAGGTGCCTAAACAGGCATCTTTGATATCTAGTACCCACTGTATTCCAGTGAAGAGTTGTGATGAGGGCAGAATGGTGGTGAGGAAGCTATGTGTTAATGCTGATTACCCAGTGAAGACACTAGTAGAGATGACCAGACCGAGACATACTTGGCCTCTAGTACTTTAATAACTTTGTGTCATAAAAACCTGTATTGACTGCATGTGTATTGTTGCCTATGAAAGAATTAATGGTGTGATAGCAAATAATTCTTATCATTGAAAATGAATTAGAAAATCTTTATGTTGGAAGATGACATTGTGAAAGCTTCTACTTTATGTATGCATAATGGTAGCTCCATGATCCCATCTTCAAATGAGAAGGATGATCTAGTTCATCTTTAATTTCCAACTGGATGGAATGTTATGCAGTCATTCCAGCTCAGACATTACATTATTTGTCATCTAGTAATACAACCATTACCATTTGTGCTATCCGGATTGGGAAGATCCCCTGGAAAACTGAACAGCTACCCACTCCAGTATTCTGGCCCGGAGAATTCTGTGGACTGTACAGTCCATAATGTCACAAGGAGTTGGACACGACTGAGCGACTTTCACAATGCCACCCTTTGGAGAGATCATGGCTGTGAGACTCCAAAATTATTGGAATCTGTATATTGACTTGTAAATAAGACATTTACAATGTTCCATTTAATTTCCATGGAGAAATAGGATCTCTTGTGATTGTTTTTAAAGTAAATTTGTGTAAGCCAAGTAATAAAGAAGAAGGGATGGCCAAGTGAAAGTTGTTCAGTCGTGACTTTCAAAGCCTGAACATCAAAATTTGCCTCAGATTTTTAAGTCCGAATTTGCTGCAGATTTTTTTTTGAAAGAAACTATAACTGTGAACCTTTATTGAAGCCAGAGCAAAGGGTTCTACAGAGAAGGCGTGAGACCTTGAAGCTGTTCTCCTCTCACAGAAGCTGTGACACACACTTTTTGGATACACAAGGTATTTGCTGATATTTTTAATTATTTGCATCTCAAACTTCTTAACATAAACTCTCCAATTAATAGTGAATAAATTCTATGGAGAATTTCAGAGAGTTTATGTTCACATTATAGTTAGAAATAATCCTGTCTTTGGGAGACACAATAGAACATAAAAATGGAGAGTTTACATACATAATGTTGGTTGTAGCCACTGTTTGTGACAAATCAGTCTCTGTTTCCTCTTCCAACAGCAACCTGAGTAGCATCAATTTTTCCATCTATAATTGTATCTTTTCATTGAGATCTCAACATCTGAAGTCCTCAGTATTTTATAAAACAATAGAGAATTTTGAAAACTTGAAACAAAAAAAAATATATCTTTAAACTGTGTTGGTTTTTAAAGTTATATGGATTCCATGTAGTTGTTTACAAAATTGAAGAAGAAGGGGAAAGTCCACCATTTTTTAACTTGTTTCTTAATGTATTTAAAGGTCTGTTAAACCCCTCACATAGCCTTGGTACATTTTACATTGATAATTTTCTTTCTGAAATAAATGTAAGGGCTTAAATAATCACACATACACAGCACAGTACACATAGTGTGTTAAAACTCAATTTTATACCACTTTTCCTTAGATTTGTTTCCTTCATAAGTCACCCAAGTATGTGAAACTACAAACTCCTGTGACAGGGAAGACCTTGAACTCAGATGTCTTTTCAAGGAAATGCTTACAGCAAGAAAATAGTGATAATCTTTTAAGGTTTGTTCTATACAACCTGCTTTTGAATTTTGTCTTTACCAATAAAAGTCTAGAGAATAGACACATTTGTTCAAGTTGAAAGAAATAGAGCATGGAAAACTTACCATATAATCACTATACATTTTCCACTAGCCAATGTATATATTTTAAAGGTAATTAAAAGGAAATTACTTGGCTCTTTCTTACTTTTTCAAGGATATGATTGTATACATTAAATCTAAATAAAAAATGAATTCCCTTCTTCTTAATATTTGACCAATCATATTTTAAAGAATGAAAGTCACACAGAGAATATATGCAAAATGTTTAGCAGAATATTTTTTACTTGTTTAAAACAAATTTACCAAAACTGATCTTTTTTTGTGCCTGTGATAATAATTTTGTTTCAAGGAGCACATATGTATGCGTCTCCTTTGACTTTTTCCAAGAAAACATTTCAGAATGATGTCTACCACTGTGTGGGATATGAAGGCTATGGGAAATAATGTGAGCTGTATGTCTCTTGACATCCTAGTAAAGTTCCATTTTACCTGCACTTTGTTTCCAGGGAGATAAATCATACTGCTTATTAAAAATGAAGACATGAATTTAATAGTCAATTGAATAATAATCTTTGACTTCATGTAAGTTTTCATCTGTG